ATGTACTTTATAATCATACTCAGGACTGTGATCCACTTTGTAAGTCATTCATCTTGTTTCGTAAATTACACTTGCTGCTTTATAATTGCGTACTGAAAAAAAAACTAAAAAAAAAAAACAAAAACTAACAAGTATTTCTTTGGAAAGACATTGAATATACCAGCGTTACTTTGGTTAGCTTTCGTATCTTTCAAAAGTCTACTACTTATATTTCTAATAGATTTCCTTTAAATTCTATAATCATTTAATTGTTTTTTTTTCTGTTAAAAATATAAAACGCGTAAGAAATGGTTATTTAATATAAACAGTGAGGCATTCCACAACGAATGCATTTCAAAAGAATACTAATTTTAGAAAGCTTAGCGGTGAAAAGATAAGTACACACGAGGCAACAAATTCAGTTAACGATAAGCTTCCATCATAGGAAATGCTTTAAACAAATGATAAGCAATATGCCTGAATAATGTATATCTATTCCAACGGCTGATAATTAAAATGAAATCATTCACTTAATCGAGGTGCATGGGTTTCATTGCTTATCCAAGAAACTACTTTAAAGGATTAACAAAGTTTCACATCTTTTTCAAACTCAAAGAAAGTTGTTTGTATATATATATATATATATATATATATATATATATATATATATATATATATATATTATATTTGATTCACAAAAGCAAGAAGAGATAAAGTATATAGTTTGAAAGGAGGCGTATTGATATAACACATTTGCATTATTCACCCATTACCAGCAATTATGCTGTGCGATTTTTCAAAATGGGCGTTTGTTTGTTTTGGAGCCTCCCCAGTTTTATAGTTATTTTTACGTTTTTCAAAATGAATGCATCAACGTGCAGACAGTTCGAAATAATACCATTTATTGTGTTTCGCAATTCCCGTTCCTGAATTCTATAATTTTTAATTCCTCTTTTAGATTGTTAATTCGTAAATGATATTTAAAAAAAAGAGAAAAAAGGCTTACGGCCAGATCGGGTTGAAACTTCGGTTCCACTGAAGTTGAACAACATCAGTACCTTGATGGGTGATCGCTTGGGAATACAAGTTGCTGTAAGCTAGGGATGTGTAGATGGTGTAATGGTAAATGGCCCGGAATTGTTCATAGGAGAGCCGAGTTCCATTTCCTGTTGCTCTAAATAAATACCCTTGGGGAATGTATGATCCACATCTTGTCCTCCACATATGGGTTAATTAGTAAGACTTGTATTTCTTAAACCATAATTATCTAGCAAAAAATTGTAAGAATGTAAAAAATATTTCTGCCTTTAAATTGCCTGCAAAATGTTGATAAGCCAGAAAAACAAATCAATCAAAACTGTTCATTAGGGTCAATTCCTTAGTAATTTTCACGGTGGGGTTGCTTTGGTGTTGTTTGTTTTCATATTTTGATGGTGTGAGATGTATTATTTGTGTTTTCCTGAGACTTCAAGTGTTCGGCATGGCTGGAATTCGAGTGAGCGACTTTCGATTTTTAAGACTTTCAACATTGTTTTTGTATTCCCTCCCTACCATTAAACGGAACGCTGGAAAACTAAATAAAGAAAAATCAAATTTAAAAAAATCAAATTTTTAAATAGCCGTAGGAAAATTAATAAAGAAAATGTGCCCTTAGGCAGAGTTTGATCCTGTGGCCTTATATGTTGCGGAAACAACTATATCGTGCGTTTAGATCACTCAGCCACATTCGACTTCGAGAGAGTCAGGAAACTCAATTAACCTTATGAAAGAAACCATATCTCATTAAATTATGGATGTACAGTTTGCAGTGCAAATAGATTGTAACCAACCTATGGAATCAAAAAAAAAATATATGATCATACCACGTGGTTTCTTAAAAGATAATATATATATAATGTTTTATTGCTGAAATTCATAATCTCGTTTGGATTGAGTGATTTGTTTTTTACGGCTTATCAAACTTTTATGGGTTATTTAAAACCGAAAAATATTGTAAGAATAATTCATTTCTTTTTTGTTTTTGTGAGTGAATATTTCATTTAATTTTTTTTGTTTGAGATAATAATGATTTGCTCTGTTATTTAACATATAGCCGGGGAAGTAGACATAGATATTTGTGCATATAATAACTAGGATGTTTAAATGATAGCATTCTATAAAAAAAGAAAAAAGAAAAAAAGAAATCCAGATTATGATTTCCAATTTATTTATTTATATTTTAATAAATAATGTAGTTTGAGCATATTTTGTTTTGGCTTCCGTAGCGGGATGGATTTGCAATGAGTTTATTTAACTAACTGAAGCTCATATTAAGTGTTATCAAATTTAATGAAAAGAATAATGCTTTCATCTGATGTTCTGAATCTATGGAAATATGAAATATATTTATTGAGAAAAAATAGTTTATTTTTGGTCGGAGTACCGATTGAACCACACCTGCCTGTTACACGTGAAAACAGTTCTGTGCTTAGAAAACCGTGTACCCATTAAAATCCACTGCATTACGATGCACATATAGATACACCATATAAAACAGTCGTCTACTTGTCAAAATGGATACTGATATTCAAAAATAACCCTTTGAAGTGCTGAACTTCCTGGAGGGGAAAACTGACACGCCTTCTTTGCTTAGACGCTACCAACAAATGGAAATTTCAAAATAGCTAACATCCATTTCCTGCTATTATTAACTTGACAGCAAGCAGCAGCTCTAGTTGAAAGTCGAACTCAGTTTGAATTCTACCCGACCTTAACAATCATGATCCTCTAGATAAACTAATAATAGCAAAATCCCACTTTACAAGCGAAGGAAAAAAATCACCTTCGATTTTGCGATGCATTTTACACGTTTCTCTTAAATATCTATAAAACCTTAGAATCACATTATAGGTGGATGGATATTACATAGTAGTTCAACACTCTTTTCTTTGTTTCTAACCATTCTTTTTTTTTTTCTTAATATCATTTCTTCGAAATAAAACTTGCAATCTCATCGCAAGATGCTTTGGAGACATTCCTAATAGTACAAGTATTACGAACATGTTTCCTGTCTTTGAATTCTACAGTTTTGTTAATATAATAACAATTTTCTCTCAGTAACGTTTACATATTTTTTACATTTTATTAAGTAAATATTTTGACAATAGAATTGCTTATAAACAACCCAATGTGACAACATTTTCAGGATATTATTTACCTCACCTCCCTGATAAGGTAGGATATGGCACAAGGTCTTATCTTTTGGGTAGCCCAAACACGTTACATATGAACGAAGGAGTGCTGTCACGCTGGCGTTGAAAGTACACCGACCCAAGCTCGTTTAGTGCAATTTGTAATGATGCTGATTTGGAATTTCCGGGGCCATGCTTCTTATCCAATCTCATTTGAGGAGAACACATACAGCACACTGATCATGGAACGAAGGCGAAGAAGGTGATATTTTGGAATCTGAAGATCGTAGTAGGTTTTGCTGAATGGTCCTAAGTAAGAAAGATTTAAGTGAACAAAATGGCACAGGCCGTAACAGTGAATATATTAGTGACTCGTATTGTAAGTTTATGGAGATATGCTGTTATTTGACTCTCAGTGGATCTCACGAGATCACTCTGGTGAGAAAATGCAATCAAGGAAAAAGATTATTAGTTTGTATTGAACAGATTCCGAAATGGTTCGATATCATGTGTGCTTCACGTGATGTGAACCGGATTGCTTTTGCTCAACCTGATAAAATAGTCACCAGCAGTTGTCGGTTTCGTATTTCTTAAATCTTAGAAGGGCTTTACTGGTAATCTGCCTTCTTCAAGGAAATTAGAGTCGGTTATATTTAATCGTTTTTTTTTCTTCTCTCCATTAAATCCCTTTTTATGCGTCTTTCATTGTTTTTTTTTTATGCCAATCACAGTGAAGCTTACTTTGCACCTCAACATTCTCCTTTTATTCTGGTTTGCTATAAGTTGTTTTGGCTTTGTTTTCGATCCATTTTCTATCTATCTATCTATTTATCTATCTATCTATCTATCTATCTATCTATGCATCATTTTTTTCTTTCTTTACCTTGGTTTGCTATAAGTTGTTTTGGCTTTGTTTTCGATCCATTTTCTCTCTATCTATCTATCTATCTATCTATCTATCTATCTATCTATCTATCTATCTATCTATGCACCCTTTTTTCTTTCTTTACCTTGGTTTGCTATAAGTCGTTTTGGCTTTGTTTTCGATCCATTTTCTATCTATCTATCTATCTATCTATCTATCTATCTATCTATCTATCTATCTATGAATCCTTTTTCTTTCTTTACCTTGGTTTGCTATAAGTTGTTTTGGCTTTGTTTTCGATCCATTTTCTCTCTCTCTCTTTCTCTCTCTCTCTCTCTCTCTATATATATATATGCTTTAATTTTGTCATTCTTTAATCAGTTTCCGTCAATGTGTCTTTTTTTTTATTTCAGCTCTAAATTATTTCTTTTTTTCCCCAACTTTTCTTAATTTATCGATTTCTTTCTTTCTTTCTTTCTTTCTTTCTTTCTTTCTTTCTTTCTTTCTTTCTTTCTTTTCTTTCTTTCTTTCTTTCTTTTGGTTACCAGTTGTCTTCTTTTCCTCTTCTGTTCCTTTCTCTTTCTTTGTTTCTCCGTTGTTTTTCTTTCTTTCTTTCTTTCTTTCTTTCTTTCTTTCTTTCTTTCTTTCTTTCTTTCTTTCTTTCTTTCTCCAGTCTTTTCTTTCTTTCTTTCTTTCTTTCTTTCTTTCTTTCTTTCTTTTCTACTTCTCTGTTGCTTACCTTTTTGTTACCTCGTTCCTTTTTTTCTCTTCAAATTAACTACTTCTCTATATTTATTTCCCGTCGTCTATTTCAGTTAGGTTTTAAATTCTTTTCTACGATTCCTTTAATCTGCTTCCTTTCCTTCCATCTCGTTTCTTTCCTTCCAGAATTTCTACCCTTTTTCTATTCATTTCTCCTGATTCCATGTGAACGAAGCACGTTACCACAAAGTGTGGAATTCCTCACCTCTTCAGAGATTCGCTAA